AGGCTGACTTATGTCACTTTGCATTACCCTCTCGATCCAATCCTTGTTTGCAAATGGCAAGACTTGTGCTGTTCTGAACATACATGAACATGTATCTGTTTGCATACCTGTTTTCAATTCTTTGGAGTATATACCTAAGAGAATTAGTAGGTCATACAGTTTTCTGTTTAACTTTTTGAGGAACTGCCGAACTGTTTTCAACAGTGGCTGCATCATTTTACATTCCTATCAGCACTGGATGAGGGTTCCTATTTCACTCTAGCCTCTAGAACATTTACTTTCCTTTAAAAAAAAAAATTATAGCCTTCCTAGTGACTGTGAAACGGTATCTCATTATGGTTTTGATTTGCATTTCCTGTTGACCAGTGATGTTGAGCATCTTTTCATGTGCTTGTTGACCATTGTTTGTCATTGGGGAAGTGTCCACTAAGGTCCTTTGTCCACCTTTTAATTCGGTTGTTTGTCATTTTGTTGTTGTTATGGTTGAGTTGCAAGAGTTTCTTATAGTATGGGCACTAAATCTCCATCATCTGTATGATCTGCAAACATTTTCTCCTGCTGTTTTGATGATGTCCCTTGTTGCACAAAAGGTGTGAATTTTTATGAGGTCTAACTTATTTATCTTTTGTGCTTGAGCTGTGGTATCCAATTCAAGAATCCATTGTTGAATGCAAGGTCATGAATATTTACCTCTATGTTCTCCTCTAATAGTTTTAGTTTTAGCTGTAATATTTAGGTCATTCATTGATCCATCCTGAGTTAATTTCTGTGTATGGAGGGAAGTTGGGGTCCAACTTCATTTCTCTGAATGTGGTGCTATTGTCCTGGCACCATTTATTGAAGACACTATTGCATTCAGTCTGTAGATTGCTTTTGGGAGTATTGTCAAATAAATGTCCAGTCTTCCAGTCTATGAACATGGGATGCCTTCCCATTTATCTATATCTTCTTTAATTTCTTTCAGCAATGTTTGTAGTTGTCACTATGCAAATCTTCACTTCCTTGGTTAAATATATTCCTAGGGGTTTTATTCTTTTGGGTGCTATTAAAAATGGAATTGCTTTTGTAATTTCTTTTCACATTGCTTGTTGCTGGTGTAGAAACCAAACGATTTTTGTGTGTTGATCTTGTACCTGGCAATTTTGCTTAATTTGTTTATTAGCTTCAATGGTGCTTGACTGGATTTATTGGGATTTTCTGTAGGTAGAATCGTATCATTTACAAATACAGATAGTTTTACTTCTTCCTTTCCAATTTGGATGCCTTCTATTTCTTCTTTTTGCCTAATTAATCTGGCCAGGATTTCCAGTAATGTTGAATAGCAAATGGTGAAAGCAGGCATCCTTGTCTTGTACTTGATTTTAGGGAGAAAGTTTTCGGTCTTTACCATTGAGCATGATGTTAGCTGTGAGTTTTTAAAGAATACCTTCTATTGGATTAAGAAAATTTCCTTTTATTCCTTGTTTGTTGAGTGTTATTTACCATGAAAGGTTGTTGAATTTCATCATGTGCTTTTCTGTGTTTGTTGAGATAATCATCTATGGTTCCCCACTTCGTTCTGTTAATGTGCTGCATTATGCTGATTGACATTCTTATGTTGAACTGCCCTTGCATTCCTCTGACGGATTCCACTTGGTCATGATGTGCCATCCTTTTGATGTGCTGTTGGATTTGTTTTGCTAGATTTTTTCCCTCTATATTCATAAGGGATGTGAGATTATTATTTTCTTGTGGTATCTTTGACTTTGTATCAGATAATGCTGGCCTTGTAAAATATGTTAGGATCTGAGTAGTTCTTCCTCTTTATTTTTTGGAATGTTGAATAGGATTTTTATTCATTATTTAAATGTTTGGTTGAATGCAGTGAAGCCATCTGGTCCTGCACTATTATTTTTGATTACTGATTTACTCTCTTGACTTGTTATAGGTCTGTCGACCTATTATTTCTTTTTGGTTAGTTTTGGTAGATTGTGTGTTTCTGGGGATTTTTTTCCATTTAATCTAGATTATCAAATTTACTGGCATACAGTTGTTCATAGTATTCTCTTATAATCCCTTTCATTTCTTTTAGGTAGTAACATTCCCACTTTCATTTCTGACTTTAATTATTTACATTCTTTGTTTTTTTGTAATTAGTTCTTAATTTTGGTGAACTTTTCAAAGAATTAGAAAACCAAAGAAGTTGGTTTTCTAATCTTTTATTTTGTTTTTTGTTCTGTTCTTTATTATGTACTTCTACCTGCTGGCTTTGGGTTTAGTTTTTTTAGTCCCATATTCTATTTAATTTTCTTTTATAAATTCAGTGTTTTATTCAGATTACCTTCTTGTATATACATCCTTATTCTGATGTCCCTTAGTTCTTTATTTATGGTTTCCTTTCAGGCCTTTGGGCATATAAATAGTTAATTTAAAGTTTTTTTGTTTTTTCTGGGGAGGGGAGAGAGGGAGTATAAGCAGTGGAGGAGTAGAGAGAAAGAGAGAGGGAGAGAGAGAATCCCAAGTAGGCTCCACGCTCAACACAGAGTCTGACATGGGGCTCAGTCTAATGACTATGAGGTAATAAAGAGCCAAAATCAAGAATTGGACACTTAACCAACTGACCCATCCAGGTGCCCCTATATAGTTAATTTATAGTTTTGTCTAATAAGACCAATCAGTGTTGGATTTCTTCATTGGTTTCTGTCACTTTTTTTTCCTATGAAAAGGCCAATTTCCTGTTTCTTTGTATACTTTGTAATATTTTCTTGAGAACTGATTATTTTAAATATTATAGGACTCTGAAAATCACATTCTCCCTCTTCTCCAGAGATTACTGTTGTTACTTTAAAAAAAATTTTTTTTTAATGTTTTATTTATTTCTGAGAGAGAGAGAGAGACAGCATGAGCAGGGGAGGATCAGAAAGAGAGGGAGATACAGAATCTGAAACAGGCTCCAGCCTCTGAGCTGGCTGTCAGCACAAAGCTCTATGCAGGGCTCGAACCTATGAACCGTGAGATCATGACCTAAGCCGAAGTTGAATGCTTAACCAACTGAACCACCCAGGCACCACTACTGTTGTTACTTTTGAATGTTGCAGTTTTCTGTTTAGTAACTTTTCCGAACTATTTTTGCAAAGACTGTATTCCTTATTGTATATGATCATTGAAGTCTCTGTTCTATTATCTCTTCGGTCAACCAGTGATTTCTTCTAATGCCTGGATTTAATAAAGAAAAAAGGGGTCTTTGTCTCTTTAAATTTCTTTGACAGACATTGCCTGGGAAGCCCTTCAGCCTTAGGGGATTGAAACAATGACCAGCCTCTCTCAGTGGACCAACAGGCAGATCAAAACCCACATCCCCAGTTTTGGAAGATGGGTTCCTACCTTGGAAGCAGCAAGCCATTCTGTGAGCATGGGCCACCGTTCCCACAGCTGCCTGCTATAGGGATGAGGAACGCATGGTGGCAACTGCTAGTAAAATGTGAAATCCATTTCATGATACATACCAGCTTCTTTCTTCATCAAGCATTTTTCCAATGATGCAAGTGTCTAACTAGACCCCAGAGTTCTAAAATAATGATTCTGACAGGTCTCGCCAGCTCGCTGGTTGATTTGATATCGGGACTGATTTCTGGAGCTTCCTACTCTGCCATTTTTGGTGGTGTTGCCTATTTACTTTTGTTGAGATAATAATGTCCATATTAAAATGTTGTACTAGCATATTTAAAAATTTTTTTGTTTAAGTGAAACTGATATGTATTTAGTGTATGTATTATTTTTTATACATTATTTACCATTATATCTGTCCATCTCATAAATTAGGATAGTTGACCAAAAAGATGAAATTTTGCATGCATATATGTAGCTGTGTCACTGTATATCGCTATGTTGTATCTTGTGGCTGAGAAAATGACATTTCTTTATTGTGTCTGTAGTTGGTCTAGTTTTTTTTCCTGCTGCTCCATATTGTGGGAGACCCATTGATTAGGGGAAAAATCCAATACAATTTAAAACTTAGTCTAGTACGATGACTTAAATCGTGTGAGATAAAATTGCTCAATCTTTATCTACTTTTTACCCTGGGATGGTTTAAGTGTGTGGGCTGAGAGGTATGGCCTTTATGATCTTCTGGCAGTGGGGAATTGCTTTTTCCTCCTTGGTTCGAGTTCTGCTACTTGCTCTGGTCTCTAGAAGAGTGTCCTGTCACCTTCTAGTTGTGTTTGCCTGGCCAGCATGTGCAGATGATGTCATGGCTGGTCTAACTTATGGTGGGGCCTTTCTGGTTGGTAAGAACGTAGTAGTGCTCTCTCCCTCGTTCATTTCCTCTTCAGCTCCTTCTTGCTGAGCTCTCTTGGGTGTCCGCCATGCCTGTATCTGGCCTGCTGGCCTAGAACTTTATCCACAGCCTTTGCTGCAGGATCTTCATGTTCGGTGGACCCTGTTGGCCAGCCGTCTAGCTCAGGAATCTGAGTCTCAGAGTTTTTCATTACCTGACCATGTTTGGAGAAACCTTCTCTCAAGAAAATGATCTGGCCTGTAAGACAGAGGACTTACTGTGTAATCCTGTGTATGTCAGATGTTTCATTTTATCTCTTCCCACTTCCTTCACTAGTTAAACCTAATAACTTCTCAGACAGATAAGTGCTGCCAGCAGACTACGGCGGAGGTCACATGCTAGGAGAGGCAAAACAACAACAAAAATACTAATTTTCAAACACCTTCGCGATTGCATGTGTGTATATAGGCCTACATGAGGATAATAGTTAAAGCGCAGATATAGTTCTAAGTGTACACAAGCCTTACATTTCAGAAATATAGGATCTATAGAGAGGCATAAGTGGTGTGCTTACACATATATATGTGTATGCAATATATATATATAGTTAAGACCTATATTATATATAATACATATAGTTAAGATAAATATAATTAAGGTTAAGAGGTTTGGGGGTCTATCTATCAACATTTTCCCGTGACTAACAATGCTGTGATTGAACGTACACTTTTTTTTTCTTTTGTAGGACCGTTCGTGTATGGCTAAAGAGAGACAGTGGGCAATATTGGCCAAGCATATACCATATGATGCCTTGTAAGTATCTGGATCTCTGTCTTTAGAAATTAGACATGGACCACACCTCCCCTTCCTTTCCAGGTTGCCTTCTCTGTGTTTTCTTCCTGAGTGGGAATATCTGAGGGTTGAGACTGTCATTATAATGAAAAGTACCATATTAAATCATTTTAACTCTCAGTATGTAAAATAGGAAAATTGTTCTGAAATTGACCACATATTCGTAGTTTCTGAATACGATTAATGGAAGAAGGGCTATAGCACATCGGCTTTCTGATTACAGCTGTCTCCCTCCTTTCCAACTTTCTGTTTCACCTTTTTGTGGAGTTCTTCCTTCAACATTTAAAATTTTCCCTGGCAATTACATTTGTGAAGTAAATTTGTTCTTGCACTATTGTTATATGATTCATTCAGATGCAAGGCATTCACCTTGACCATTTGGTCCCCAGAAATGTGTGCTTATGATTGAAACATTCTAAGTAGAAATCAGCCTCCTTTTCTTATATGAGAAATATGTCCTTATGCTGATAAATAGCTAATCTTTTAAATATATTTTTAAACATCATTAGATTTGATTTGTAGACTTGTGTGCTGGCAATTCTCCTACAGAAGAGCTGGCACATCAAAATAGGAAATGGCTTTTTAGTCTGCCATTTTATCTTTAAAAAGTGATGAAGTTTGGGCATCCTAGCCCATGTTTATTTGAATATAAAATAATTATTTAAATTTGATATCAATTATATTATTCAACATTTCCCTGACTCCCCTTCAAATCTTCATTAAAATTGACACCCTAGAAAAATCCCTGGGTTTTTTCGCTTGGGCCCGGGTCCTCTCCAGCTTGCTATGCCATGCACCCCGTCCCTGGATACAGGTACCCCAGTTTGAGAAGTACGTGCCGCAGGTACAACCAGAATAAATTCATGCTGCATTGCAGATGTGATTAAGTTTATGCTTCTGGCAAGAGAATGCTATAATAACTTAAACAGCAATTTTGCTTGTTTATGAACAAATGAATTATTAAGGCTATAATGGGTTTCTGTGATTTTCAAATTATCTTTGAGGTTTTGTGTGGCTTTAGAATTTTATAATAAATAAATGATACCCACAAAGCTGAACCAGATGGCCGGTCCTGCACTAGGGAAGAGGAAACTTCTTGTAGTTCTGAGTACTTGTATCGGCCCTGTACCTGTTGAGGCTCCAGCAGGCAGCATTTATACAGCAAAGGGCTACGTGAACTCCCTCTTTCGGCGGCGGCAGTGATAAGGGCTCAGGCAGAAGGAAGGGGAAAGGAATTTTCTGATCGATTGTTTTTTCTGAACTTTGAGTGGTATAACCAGTCTTTTCTATGATGTTACCTTTTCATCAAACCTGACACGGTATCTAACTAGAGGAGGGGGAGGGTCTGTAGTCCAGCAAGTTGAAGTTGACGCTAGAGATCTGTCACTAGCTTGACTATGAAGACAGAGGAGAGTCAGACCTGGGCAGAAAGACGAGGGCTCGGGGATGGTAGGCAAGGAATCTTCTTGGGATGAACATGAATGGGAATCTCATGGAGACAGGAGCTTTGTGCACCCCCTTTCTATACACACATCTAAACGTGCTTTGCTGTCTTTCTCTGATGCTCTCTTTATTTGAACGTCACTGACAATACAGAGACGCCTCTGGTTGCATTCTTATCATTTATTTAGAATGACTAAAGGCTGCTGTAGCTCCTTCACCGGGCACAAGTGCTCAGTACATAAATAACGATGGAAGACTTGAATCTGGTAATACAGATGAGTCCCCGAGAACATCATCATACATACTCCTAGTGATTGAACACAGTCTTTGAGAAAGAGAACCCTTTAATTTTTTGCGTTATTTTGCCTACAGCCTTCCACTAAAGGGACTGAAAAGGGCATTACTTTGCTGTTAAAATGTGTGTGGACCAGCAGCATTAAGGTCACCCTAGAATTTACCAGAAATGCAAGTATTGGGTACCATGCTAGATCGAAAGAATCAGAATCTGCATTTTTAATGATACCCCTAGGCGATTGAATGCACTTTAAAGCGCATTCAGAAGATTGTCTTCTGGCATTATAGCCAACATGATGATCTCTTTTACACATGATTGTATGAGCACATATAAAGCTTCATGCATATATTGTATTGATTTCTACATACATAGATATAAGTACCCATTCTAGTGGGTCAGACATTTACTGTGCACCTGCCGTATACAGGGCACTGAGCTGGTTGCCAGGGTTTGCAGATAATTAAGGTGCATATGGTCAAGGTGATTTCCATAATCTTTCATTGTTGGATAGCTCCACTACCGTGGAGAGGTAAAAGAACTATATGTTCTTCTCAGTTGATCGGAAATTGGCTTTTATGTTCCTAGGAATTGAATGTACTTAGATAACATAGCAACTAATATTTGAGCAAGAGTCAGTTTCATTTAACTCGAGAGAGGCAGAATCTTGTTGGATAAGGAATTATGCTATATTTTTGGACAGTTAGAAAACCTGAAATAGCTTTGAATTTTCAAGGGTTTATTTTGCAGTTCTTTCTACTGAAAGGTGTTTTGTTAAGAGGTGACTTAGTATTATCCTTAAATAATGGTTTTATGTGGTATTAGTTACAAAATAAGTAAAAAGGTACAGTATGTCCGGAGGCTATGACATGGACATCACAAGGCATATATGACCATATAATGTGTTTATAGTGATACGTAATAAGTAGTATTCCAAATCCGGAAGAAAACATAAAGAAAATATCTTTACATGTATTATATGGCTTATTTATTTATTTCATTTATGAAAATTTAACAGTATTTTTCATGTTCTGAGTAGGATAGTACTTTCAGTAGCATTGAGAAGAATTTGCAGTTTAATGAATGGGGGTGGAGTGGAAGGCATTGGATGAGAAAGAATGAATGGTGGAGGTGGAGTTTGATGGTTCAGAGAAGAGAGCCTGAATGGCAGGGGAGTGTGATAAGGCTGGATGAACTTGAGGGGGTGGTTCACAAGAGAAGGGTAAGGAGCAGGCACATTGTGCTTTGGGGGTGTCCTCAGACCCTATCTTTTTCTGAGAAGCTCTGGCTTCCCCTTTAGGAGGGAATGAGGAGAGGCCAGACTTGGCTGGTTAAGGCTATTTGCTCCAGAGCCAACCTGATTTTCCCAGAATTTAGAATTTGGAGTAGGAAATGCTAAGTTTCAGCCTTGGCTGGTCCCTTGAGCTGTGAATATGTAAACCTTATAGCTGTGAGGTACTTGTGTACGAAAAGAAACAGTGGAAGCTTAGAAGAAAGTATGAATTAGGGAGGAGGACCACTTGGCTCAAAAGGGAGAGAAGCCTAAACAGGTGATGCCCGAAGGTTTTTCTCCTCCTCCACCCCTCCAGAAGCCTGGCTCTGCTTCTGCCTTTGAGTTCAAGAGATTCCCTCTCCTACTGGATACATCCTTTAGTGCTTCCTTTCACTCCAGTGGGTTTCCGTCACTCGTGACTGCAAGGATCTGACTCAGCCTAGCCCTGATTGTATACTTCCCAATTCCTGTCTGTTCAGTTTCTCCTGGATCCCTATGACCTTTAAAGAGAAAGGACTGAGCCATGTCCCGATTGGTGCCACTGTGATGTTGAGCTGCAGATAGTCTGGGAAAAGCGAGGGTGAGTCAAGAAAAGGAGCAGAAAGAAATATTTATTCCGTTTAATTTTTTTGGACAGTTTACTCAACACATTTTAAATGCCTCTGCCATACTAAACACTGCCAAGGATCTAGCGGTTAGGTAGGGCGGGTGATTCCTGCCTTCCTGGTGCGTACAGGGGGGAAGGCAGACCTAAACTAAGTCACACCCATGCTGTGTGGTAAGGGTTCTGACAAGAAGCAGGTGTAGTGGAAACGGGTCAAAAGGTTCCCTGAAGAAAGTCCATTTAAAACCCTGCTGTCTAAAGAGAATTTGGGATGACCAATGACTTGTTCTGTAGTTGCCCATGTGCCGATGTTTATGGATGAGTGAGAAAGAAGAGCGTCTCCCTATCTCATATTCTTTCAAAAAATACTATCCTCTTGATGTATCTCATGTAATAGCTGCTTATTACCTGTGACAAGATCAGGTTCCAGTGTGCCCAACTGGGACCTGCTTGAGCATGGAAACCAGAGAGGGGCCTTTCTGAGGGTGGAGAGCTGAGGTTTCAGTTGTAGCCATTAACGACGATCTGTTCCAGGCTTCTAGTGGATACCATTTCAACCACTGCATTTGCATCTCTCTACAGAAGGAAAAACAAAACAAAACATGAAAAGCATAGGCATTTCCATTTTCATGGTTGAGTTCTTTTAGATTTACTTTTTTAACTAGGTTTGCCATTCATGGGGTCAGACAGAGGGGTGGAAGAGAGAAATCTTAAGCAGGAGCCAATGTGGCAGGTGTTTGAGATTTTGCTTACTCTATTAAAGTATTGGGTATCATGTGTGGGCCTCTATAGCCAGCTTTTCCCCTTGGGCTTTCAGAGTAGGTAAAGCAGTTCGGCTGCCAAAGATGTAGTGAATAGGGGGTTGAGGGCCCAGAGCCTCGGGACTGAGGGCGTGTTGGACGATTGTGGGTTCCTCAGTTGCCAGGGCAGGCAGATGACATTTACTTTGGCTCCTAAGTGTTTATGAATTTGTTCCCAAAGCAAAACAAGACAGTTTTTCAAAGATAAGTACAAATAAAAGGCACACCTAACACGGAAATAAAATGACCTATTTTTTCCAGCTCCCTGCCTTGGAGTGGTGGGATGGCATTTGCCCAATCTGGGCTCGAGCTGGGGCCCCCTCGGTTTTCACACAAGCACATCCACTTTGCCGTTGGCTCAGCTAACTTTTAATGTACAGGAAATCTAGTCCTCATGGAAAAACAATTTTGAACTGCTGCCTCCTGGTTTTTATCAAAAGCCTGGGTAGAAGAGAGACTGTTTATGGAGGTCAGTATGCAGGTTATGCAGTCTGATTGTTCATTCATACAGTTTTCCCACATTGTGTTAGCCCTCTGCAGAAATGCTTT